TTGCTGATTTGAGAATATATATAGTTGCTGGTAGTCGGCATGCTGCAGCCATGTCTCACACGTAAGTATTGCATCTATTCTACCCATTGGAGTGAAAAAAAAATGTGGTATTTTTTCTTTCATAATTATCAAAACCCTTCATGCTAGGTTCTGAGGGCTGTGTTAAATTTAATTTAGTAGAGTTTTTCCTAAATACCTCCCAACCTTTTCTCTCAATCCAGGAGCATCCTCGAAATTAATCCATTAAATGTTGATATTTTCTAGATCCACATTGATATCAACAGTGTTGTGTAGTCAGTTTCAAACAATATCCCTTGGTTCAACTCCTTCGAATTTTCTGAGACTCGTGATTTTAAAATTTCTGACTTCTGGTCATGGATTCTAACACAACTATGAACTCCAGCTTGGATTCCTCTGGTAAGCAGAACTCCCACTAAATTCTATGTCCTAAAGCTACTTATTTCTTGTTCATCCTGAGAATCCATGAATAAGACAACCATTTTTCAGCTGCTTAAATCGAACAAAAAAAGCAAGCATCTAGAAATCATAGTGCAAAAAAACCTCATCGACATGGGTCTCTAGCCGTTCGCAAGTAGCTAAAATTGAAGCAACAACGCCTGCTTTCCCTGCCTCAAGAAGTTGGCACAAGTAAGGGCCAAGTTTCTCCCAGATCAGGTTGGCCTGTGTATAAAGTGAAAAGTGCATCAGTTGCAGCCATGCAAAAATAAAAAATAAAAAAATGTAAACATCAAATTCAAGAGAGCACATGAAGATCAATAGATCAGAGTCTCGTCCGTAAAACCAAATTTGCAATTTCAAGGAACTAAAAACTCAAGTTAGAGAAGAAAAATTAATATGAAAACACAAAAAAATTAAATTAATAATAAAAGAAAATGTTTAATTTTCCATGAAACGCTCAAATCCATTCAGACGAACCACGTGAAAATTAGTCCGCAGATATGACATCAAAAGCATGGAGTTTTTACCTATTTATAAATTTCACAATTCAAGAACCATGGATTAATTCCAAAAAGCATATTCACGAGGATACAGATCATTGATAAGAGGGAAAGTCCATATAATTTAGCAATACAAAGCAAGAAAACTTTGTGGTAAAATTTTCAATCAATCATTAAAATAAATTCATACTAAATTTCGGAATGCACACTGGATCAAGATGCAATAAGAGATAAATGACCATAACACTAAATATTTTAAAATGTCACAAAAGCTAAATTATGCAATGACCCATTTAACAGCGTCAAAATTCCAATTGATATGCATATATATACCAAAATTTTGTGTTTTTTATAACAAAAAATGAAACCTTAACTTATCATGAAAAAAAATAGGAAACTGGGACTTGGTCCATCTAAAAATTTGACCATTTATGAGAAACAAAAGAGTACAAAACATTACTGCAATGACATAACTTGTTTTTTGGTTCTTGCTGAAGAGATAAATGCTTGCACAACGAAGTTGCCACATTGGTGAGATGATATATCCAACAGAGACCCATTGAAAATCACATCAAACAACTCATCGTACAAAGCCCCTGGTGCCACGTCCACAATAACCTGCAAAATAACCCTATTATGTAAAACATGAGAACCCGTCCACCCCGCCCAAAGATGAATTACAAGTTAATTTATAATTAAAAAAATATATTTAGATATGAATTGATCAATATTCATTCAAAATATGAAGGTATCAATGTATAATGCATTAAACAGCAAGTAACGGTTGTTTAAAAATATAGCTCAAATAAAGAATGTTGTCAGAGAAGTTGCTTGGTAAGAGTTTCAGAAAGATCAATATGCATTAAGTTAAGCTGAAAAGAAGACCAATACTTAGAAGAAGAAATTTAATGGTCCTAAGAAAATCAATCTCAATAATTAACAAAACATCCAAATAAACGATATGATCTTTTGCAATTACTAAACTCCCAATCAACATGGTTGGAACCAAAAAAGGAGAAAAAAAATGAAATTTTTTTCAAAAGAGGTAAAGAGAGTCTCGATCATAAAATCAAGCCCTGAATGCAATACATGGGTCATCAAATTAAGCCAATAATCATGACTTTCAAATTCAATATTTACAAAGAGCCAATGTTGTTCCCCAAAAAGATGCAAGTACTTCAGTGACTATACTCCATCACTATCAAGCCCTTGAAATGGGAAATGAAATGGGAAATGGGAGAATAAACTCAGCATTGATATCACAAAAACCAAAAAAGATAGTGATGCGGGAGGCACTTTTTCGGGAATGCAGGACACATTTCATCTGGAAACACAATACAAATTTCATTTGAGAACACACATGTGGTATTAAGCATTCTCCGTAGGATCACGGATCCTCCCGGATGTGATTTTACGCCCGGTTATCAAATTCAACAATAATGTTTTTTCTCCATTTTCACATTTTTTTCTATTTCGTTATTTATTTTAGGATTCTTGTTATTAGGAAAATATTTATGTGTGCGTTTTGCTGATTTGAGAACTTTTGGCTTTATGTATTTTAGAGATGTTTTCTCTGATTTCCTGTTCTAAGAGTCTCACAATTGGTGTGTACTTATATTGCTTAGGAACAGGTGGCTTACCCATACACTTTTCGTCGCCCACCTCTCTGCTTTCAGAAGGGTGAGCTGCCGAACAGCTCAAATCTGCCATCCAACAGCAGATTTCACCGCTTACCCCCCTCCAAACGCAATTGACCTGACATACTATTCTTCCTTTATTATTCCATAACCGCCTCCATGCTAAATCGCCTTCCTGAACACCTTCTAGGGTCCTTAGAACGGTATTAGATAGATGCTAGACAAAATTCATGGCTATTAATTGAGAATTTTGCACTTTCATACAACAAATAGGCACGTCAAGCATACATGTCATTTATGCAAAGTCATGTAAAGTACTTCAGATTTAGTACATAAAACTCATACAGTGATAACTGAAATAATGATTAGCTTGTCATTCATCACTCAGCAAAAAATTTGATTTTCTAAATGAACACAAGCATCTAACAAAGCAATAGATCATCCTCAAAATTTTAAGGAATGAAACAACCATTTAATAACTGAATTGCACCAACAAACATTTATCCTTGTCCTTATTCATTCTAATGATAATGAGTGCATGATTAAAGGTTAAGATAACAATAATAAAGTATAATCTCTATAGAAACTGACATGAGAAAGTGAATTCTAGACTTGCCATGCATTCTCTTAAGTGAAAAGTATTAAAATAGTCCTTGATTCTTTGCAAGTGGTCGTTTTAGTCCCAAAGTCCATAAATATGCTACTTTAGTCCCCTGACTCTTTTGACATGAGCTAAAATAATCCCCACAGAAGACTATCTCAACCTCAATTTAAAAATTAAGGAACTAATTTGAAACTTCTATAAACTTTGAGACTAAAATTACCCCATGTAAACAGCCAGGAGACTAATTTGACAATTCACTCATTCTTTTGAAGTAGAAAACTGGTAAAGTACCTCCAGAAGATGACTAGAAGCAGTATCTTCTAGCATGCCTAGAACTTCTCCTTCAAGCTTTTGCTTCGCAGCATCAGTAAAATTGTTTTTTACAAAATCCACCTCTTGGCAGCCAAGAAAGATCATGATCGCATGCAAAAGAGCCTGATCATCTTCCACTAATAACTTCAGTAGACTCTGCAAATAATAAAATAAAGATGCAAAGTGAAAAACTTCAAAATGTTTAAATGGCCAAACTCAGCCTAAAGAAATCAACATTAAGTAACATGCCTGTAAGACAAAACTGCAATACTTTTCAGTTCTCAGGGTTGAAATCTCATCTTTGGCGTTATTCAGAATTTCCTGGACAAGAAATTTGAATGTGTCTGGAAAGCTGTTTTGAGGATTCCTAAGAATTCTACCTCCAGGTTGAACTGGCATACAATTAAACCGTTCCGCGAGAACCGAAGATGGCTTTGAGACATGAAATTCTTCTAAAACACCTAATGGGACTCCCATGCATAAGCAAAGAAGACTCCTAAGGACATGAGATCCATAGCGATTGCACATTATATTGACGGAATCAACACTAACTACCTGAAGAAAAATGTGTGGTTCAATGTGATAAATAATAGGAAGATTGGCATACATACAACTTAATTCCTATGAATTTACATATCTAACACCTAAACTTAAATTTTTACACAGATGCCACCTTATCTATTCATGAAAACAAGTATTTAACATTTTAAAACTTAAAATAATGTGGTATTTTTATGTGAAATGAAAGATTGGAGTGAAATAAAAGCAAAAAGTAAAATTTAGGAGTTAGATATGTAATTACATAAAAATTGGGTGGTACGTATGTAAATGCCCCTAAATATAAAAATAAAACTTTTTTAGGATAAAAGTAGTAACTTAAAGTTTAAGAAATATTAAGACCTGACATATCTTATGCAATGTCTCTTCAACCATAGAATAAGATTGGTCATCTTGAAGATGCATGGCTAGAGACTTCAGTGCAGTCTCAGCAACATGAGATCCAAATTTATCAACAGCCATAGAAGGGAATTCCTCCGCACTTCTAAGAAGAAAAGAACAGAGCTGCTCCAAATCACATCCTTCAAGAAGACATTGCAAGGTTCGACTTATAATCATGTCGGTAGCGAGTTCAATTTCTTTCCCCCTAGTTTCTTCCAAGGCATTGCCGCATATAGTCGGACGAACATCCATGTCAACCTCATTGCTCTCAAACAAATTCGAAATTTCTAAGAAATACTTAACAGTTTCAGGATCAACCCTTTTCCTGCAGGGTGAAAATTATTTAATAGTCATAAATATACAGCTAAATTCTAAGAGGAGATGTGCCAAACCTGAGTGCGGTTGCATGTCCCTTGGATGGGTTGTTAACCGGATAGGGTTTTACAAATCTCCTCCTTTCACAAGACTCGATAGGGAAGCCATTGCTGGCCGCATTGAGATGTTTTCCTGGTTTCTTATATTTACACCTTCTGCGACTAATTTGTTCAGATGTGTCATTCTCCAAAGGATTAAGATGTGTGCCAAGATTTCTTCTCTTGTTCTTTCCATTCTCCCTCTTCTTGAATGAATTCTCTTCCCTGCTCATCCTAGCGAGGATATTATACTCTTTCAATAAGAGGGGTGGAAATTTAGTGATACAGTAGAAATATTTAGAAATAAAGTAGAAATTGATCTTGCTGCAGCAATTAAAGCAATCAACACCATAAAATATCCAGTCTATCGTAATTTATTTTAGGAAAATTTACATACGAAACACACAATTCTTATGTATTTAAGTATCTAACACTTAGAGTTTGCTATTTACACTCTAAACACCTTGGGATCGTAAACCTATGCATGAAAAGGTGCATTCCGCCTTTTAAAAGTTAATAATGGTGGCATTTTTTTATGTGATGTTAAAATTTTGAGTGTAATAAATGCAAATATGAAATTTTAGGTGTTAAACAAGTAAATACATAGGAATTGTCCAGTACATATGTAAATGCCCCTTTATTTATTCAGCAATCATTCATGTATATAGTATTTTCTTTGCCTATATCCATCCTTTTATGCAATAGCTTTATCTCTAGAAGCTTTTGACCTGGACTTGCATTTCGTCATCATCGCACTTGCATGGCATTTGAAATCATAGACATAGCACGAACATGAAATTCAAAATAAAAAATACCAATAGTACGGCATTTGAAAAGATTGACATATTTGTAAAACTGCTTAAATTTATGATCATAGCAGCAACATGAAATTTATAATTAAAGATATGGCAAGCATTGTAATGGAATCATAGACAATATAATGGCATGGCATACTGCAAAAATGGCAATAACAATGCATAAAATTTAACAACAAGGGCATAAACTGTAAAATAGTCTGGAATGCATGATGATAGTAGTTACATAGCATTTTAAAATAATAGAAATTAACTAAAGGATAATCACAACACTCCTACGAGCAGTACCAAATTTATTGACCTCTAACCAGTACTAGAGAATGAAACCAGCTTAAGTTTGCCTATTGGAACAACTCACCATCACGTGAGGTCTTCTAAATCAAAATTCATAAGAATATATATTCAATGTATAACTGTATTGTTTAAATTTATTTTCTAAAAATATGAACCATGGCAAATAACATATTCATGGAATTGATACAGATTTAGTTTGAGACTCGTGAGTCTCATACACAGCTACATAATTTATCAAAAAAATATAATGAACTTAGGTTTTAATTATAATACTCAACATTTTGAAATCCGTATTAATTAATTTTTTATCAAATTATTATGAATGATTTTTTTCTCCAAATAAAATCTTTGAGCTTGTTGACTAAGCAAAGCCTGTTGCAACAAACACAGAGTTCGGGACACATTATATTCATGTGTGAGTAATAATTTGCTCTCATGTTAGATATGACAAGCTTGATTTACTGTTCTTATACCATGTCGCTTATAAATTTTATACTTATCATGAAATATCAATGATGTTCTTGAAACCATTTAGGATTAGTATTACTTGTAAAAAGACTAATTGAATTCATACTTATAATAGGAATAAACTAGTAAAACTTATTTAGAGTTTTTTTGTTCTGTTTTTCTTTTTTCTTTTTTCTTTTTTCTTTTTTCTGATTTTGCATTATTAAATTTAATGATGAATTTCTTTGATTAATGTACTGATTAACTAGTAATTACGATGGTGAAATCCTTATTAACAAGCAATAAGTTTAGTATAATTACTGATTGATGATTAATGTAGCTAGAAGTAGTAGAAAATCAAATCAACCTTAAGTAGCCTTAAATTTGATGTCATCAATAAATAATATCAAATTAATATTTCAACCAACAGACTTAAACTCTATAATAACTTGCCAAACTATTTATAAGGATCTAATAATAACTAACATACCAAACAGTTTTGAGTAATTAACTAGCTCAAGATTTCATAAATCAAATTTACAGGATTTACTGATTTTTCGTGATTTAATAAATCTAAATTTACCAAAAAAAAAGGGTACGGAAAAAAAGATTTACGATAGCATAGAATTTATGTCTGCAATTTTTAAGGTTTTGCAGGATTTATAATAAATCCGATTTATAATAAATCCGGCTTAAATCCTACTTAAACCCAAATACAAAATAGCCCTTGGCAACTTTTAGGGGCTGTTTAGTAGCAGTATTTGACCTAAATCCTGACATACAGCAAAAAATGCCGCCTTTAATTCCTAGAGGTACTTTAATCCCGTTTTTCCTCCATTTTGCCTTAAATCCAGGATCTAGTAAACCGCTTTGGAAAAAAATACGGTATTTAGAGGAACTCAAGCACGGGAAGGCGGGCGGGAGCGCGGAGGAGAAAGACGAGGGTTACCTTGCTTAATGGTTTCAGATAGGAGCAGTGGAAGGAAAAAAAAGATGGGAGCTTCAGAGGCCTGCCGCAGTCCCGTGGTTGCCTTCCCAGCTACTAGCTCCTCTAATGGTGATTGTATCTCCCGAGGATTCGTTCGCACTGGTTTTGGGCGAAACCGGAAGAAGGGATGTAGGCGAGGGTTTAGGGAGGAGAGGGGCATGGGAAGTATGTTTGTGACTTTAATTTGTTTTTATTTTTTAAGTTAATCTTCATTAATTTAATTGATTGATAATTAATTAATATATAAATTAATTATATATAATGATTAATTGATAAAAAATAAATTATATATTTAAATTAATTAATTTAATCAAATTATTATTATTATTTATGTTTATAATAAATATTTAATCGAGTTTTAATTAATAAATCTTAATTTCTTGTAATATTATTATTTGAATAAATATATCATTTATGATTAATAGTTGAATAAATATTTAACTATTAACTAGTATAGTTATAAATAAAATTTAAAATTTAATTTAATTAGATTTAATATTTATATCATTAATATGTAGAGAAATTTATATGCATAGCACAAAATTTTTAAATATTTACATATCTCACACATAAACTTTCATAACATATACACTGCACTTTAGCATTTTAAATTTATACATAAATAATGTGTATTTCATTTTTAAAAATTATAATTAAATTATTTTAAAAAATATTATTAATTAGTTCACTGAATAATTAATTAAGTATTAACTATTTATTGTTAAATTATTATTTAGTATAACCAGTTTAATAAAAAAATATTATTAGTGATTACTTAATTCAATAAATTTTTACTTATTAATTAATATAATTACAAATAAAATATAGAAAATAAACTTATTAAAACTTAATAATTATAGCATTACTATGCACGATTAAGTTATTAACTTTTAAAAATATTTATGAAAGCATGCTTTTGAAGTGCATTTGTGTTTTTGGTTTACTTCTAAGTCTTTCAACCACCAAAGTTCTATTACATATATACTAAAAGTTGTCAAATAATTTTTTAAGAGAGCATGACCGTGGGATATCCCCGTAAGAGAATCGTGAAGTTCATATAGATTATCAAGAAAAATTGCCTCATTGCAATTACTAAACGTGACAATCAATGTTTTCATGTTACACTGCAGTAAATAAGTCGCACCAAACGGGACCTTAATCTATTCTTATTAAGTTTTAAGCTTTAAGACTTTGATGGATTGGAGAATTTATATTTTTTTTGTGGGAGCTTGATTAGTGCAGAAGCGGAACTAACTTCCTTTTTTAGGGTGAGCAGACTTATTGTAAAAATGAATTGATTAAAACAATATCACATAATTGAAAATTAAGACTCGTAATTCATCGTCATTGATAAATTAAATAAGATTACAAACATTTCAATCTATTTTATATGTTTTTTATTACTTTAAGAAAAGTAATTTCATGTTTTAATGTAAATTTTCACATGAAATATAATTTCATGAAAGTACATGTTTCGTGCGAAACTAAAATTAAATACGAAAAATTTATTACAAAACCTAATAAATAGATGCATGCAAAATAATTAAAAAATAAATTTACATCTTTAAACTAACTATGATTTTTCCTCATATTTTTATCTTCTATTTTGACTCGCTCAAATATTAGAAGGTTTTTAAACAAAACTTTTAGTTTAAGAATTTACATCAGTAAGTTTAATGATTATATAAAATTAATTAGCTCATAAGAGCTTTAATAAGCTAATGTTCATATAAATATAATAAACGGAAATGTTTCAAGTTAATTGAAGAGGTTTGGGGGTAAAATATTACATTTTATCATCTTTATTAATAAATATTCAAATTACGATTTAATAAAAATTTTTGTGCAATGTATGTAAAGAGATAATATTACATCAGGACTTGCGTTAGGAGCTCAATAATGGGACGTCACGTGTCAAGCGTGCCTCATCATACTATACTGATATTGGCCAGTGCAAAAAATGATGGATCTGTTTAACACATAACACCCTACCATTAGACTCCGAACTGAACGGCAGTCTTGATGTAATATTTTTATATATATAAAAAATCAGCACAGAGCTGCCCTCCATCCCTGTCCTAGCTCCCATCCTTTTAAATATCTCCACTCCTCCCTCATTTTCCCCAACCCTAACTCAACCATGAGACCCCATATCCCCAATACTCTCGTCCCTCTCCTCGCCGCCGTCATCTTCTTCCCCTCCGTCGCCACCCCTTCCCACACACTCCTCCGTTCCTCCTGCATCTCCGCCCGCCATCCCGACCTCTGCTTCTCCTCCATCTCCGCCTCCCCCTCCCTTCTCCAGTCCATCTCCTCCCCCAAAGACGTCATCCGCGCCTCCCTCAACCTCACCCTCGCCGCCGTCCACCGCTCCATCGCCGGCGCTAAAATCATTTCCGCCCTCCCAAATCTCACCCCCCGCGAGCATGCCGCCGTTCAAGACTGCCTCGAGATGTTCGACGAAACGCTCGACGAGCTCCGCCGTGCCGACTCCGATCTCCGTTCTTACGCTCCCGGTCATTCAAACGCTAAATCTCTTTCCCGACTTGCCGCTGACCTTAAGATCATGATTAGCGCGGCCATTACTAACCAAGTAAGAGTTTACAACCAAAAAAAGAAAGGAACTTTTATAGTACATTTAAATGAAAATTATGTATTGATAAAAATAACATATTATTAATGCGATATTTAAATATATAGCAACTAATTATTTTACATTTACATATCTAACACTTAAGCTTTAGGGTACGTTTGGGACAGCTTATTTGATTCGTTGACGTTTTGAAAATACTGAAAAAAATATTTTCACACCATACGTCTGATTTTTCTCGAAAAATAAAAATTTATAATACCTATCACACCTAGCTTATCAGCAGATTATTGAATAAGCTGCAGCTGTTTATACCACTCAAACCTTTAATTTCAGTTATCACATCAAAAATATCAATCATTTTTTCACTTAAAAATAATTAAATACACTGTGTATTTAAAAATTGAAGTTACAAGATTTGAGTGGTATGTATGTAAATCTTTCATTATAAATTTTTTATTATTTTTTTTAGAAAAATAAATGCCTTTTTTTATTTTTAAAATACTTGAGTATAATTAGTTTTATCTTCAAACTAAAATAATTTAAATTATTGTAAATATTATATATTTTAATATTTTAAAATACATAAAAGAAATTTATAATATATATAGTTATATACGAATTTAATAGCAATTCTCTTCGACCTCTTTTTTTTTTATGACACATAAATATCATAATCTTAAAAAGTTGAAAAATATATTTTTTTTTTCTTAATTTTAGGCCGATAAGATTACCGAGAGAGCTAACTAGAACATATTTTAAAGTATAAAAATGCTGTAATTTTTTTTAATATTAATTAAAATTTTAAAATTAGCAAATTGCACACAATAAAATGAAATTTGGTCCGCCCTTTATATCCATGATGTTTTAATTAAGTTAAGCTTTAATATCTTCCCATAAATGGCTAAAAAATATTGCAAAAATACCCCTAGCATTTACATTATTACATGCATACCCTATGGTCTTAAATATCGAACTTTAGTTCTGACATATCTAACACCTAGATTTTAATACATTCATTCATAGCACTCAATTAAAAGTCAGAACACATTTTACTATAAATTTGAAGTGCCAAGTATAAATATAACACCCAATTCTTATGCATCTAATTTTTGATCCCAAACATCATGAAAAGGTAAATTACAATATTTTTATCTTTTCATACATAAAAAAATGTATTTTAAATCTAAAAATTAAAGTTTAGGGTTACCCTTGATATGCAAATACGATTCAATTATAGGAAATATTATTTCATACGGACGGCATATGCAGAAACACATGCGTCATCCGATCTCTATCATTGATTAGAACTTCCATCAATTAAAAAAAAATTAGACCCATCGAAATACAACTTTGCGAAGATCCGACTATTCTGCAGGATGCATTAATAATTTTTCCAATTATAGGGTACCAATGTAAAATTCTCTTTTTCAATTACTTTTCTTGAACTCTGCGCAAACAGGAGTCCTGCGCCGACGGCTTCTCGCACGCCAGCGACGACCGCCGTCTTCGCGGGGCAATCCTCAAAGGGCTCACACACATCGAGCATTTGTGCCAAAATGCTCTCGCCATGATCAAGAACATGACCGACGGCGACATCGCTGCTGCGGCGACGGCGGATCCCCGGAAGTTAGCTGACCGTCACGCCGGACGTTTCCCGGCGTGGATTAAGGCCGGTGACCGTCGACTTCTTCAGTCCACTGCTGTGACGGCGGATGTCACGGTGGCGGCCGACGGAAGCGGGAATTTCAGCACCATTGCGGAGGCGGTGGCGGCGGCGCCGGCGAAGAGCAGCCGGAGATATGTGATCAGGATAAAAGCAGGGGTTTATGAGGAAATCGTGGAGGTGCCGAAGAAGAAGACGAACATAATGTTTGTCGGAGATGGGAGGACGAAGACGGTGATCACCGGAAGCCGGAATGTCGTCGATGGATGGACTACTTTCCGATCCGCCACCTTAGGTTTGTTCTCTGTGACATCCCTACCACCCTGTTCTTACATATTTACAAATCTAACACCTATAAAATTTTTTTTTATGAAAAAAATTGCATAGTACAAATATTTAATCTTGGCGGAATTAGCGGAATTAGAAATCATGTTAACTAATAATTGCTACAATTCGGCGGTTTGTCAGCAACATTTTGGGTCCATTTATTTGACAATTCATATATATATGTATATATAGCTTATAGGAAGAGTGATCCAATGAGTTAGCTTATTCAAGTGAAAATAGAACGGACAGCTAAAGATTAGGAAAAAATATTATGTAACAGTAGAGAATTTCTTATCAGTTTTTAGCGGCGCAAATTAGCTCCGAACAAAAAAACTTGAAATAAAAAAGCCACCGACAAGGGAAGGATTGGCTACAGCTGTCAACTTGATGGACGACGACAATATTGTACTCCTGGTCTGCACGTGATTCATGTTTCTCCAATTCTAATCTTTAAAAAATATTACATCAGTACTATGCACTTAGAAATATCGTGCGCAGCCAATAAAATCACGCCACGCGCGATAGGAGAATAAAACTATGCAGTAACACGAGGAATATTCCTCCCCGTGTTAATCATGTGTTATTGTGTGTTATTCATGTGTTACTGTATCATGAGAATATTCTTAGTGTTATAATAACACAATAACACATCAATAACACATGAATAACACGCAATAACACATGAATAACACACAATAACACATGATTAACACGGGGAGGAATATTCCTCGTGTTACTGCATAGTTTTATTCTCCTATCGCGCGTGGCGTGATTTTATTGGCTGCGCACGATATTTCTAAGTGCATAGTACTGATGTAATATTTTTTAAAGATTAGAATTGGAGAAACATGAATCACGTGCAGACCAGGAGTACAATATTGTCGTCGTCCATCAAGTTGACAGCTGTAGCCAATCCTTCCCTTGTCGGTGGCTTTTTTATTTCAAGTTTTTTTGTTCGGAGCTAATTTGCGCCGCTAAAAACTGATAAGAAATTCTCTACTGTTACGCAACAATTTTTACACCGTGTTGAAGGCAGGATAGATTTTTGTCAAAGATAAGCATATTTATTCAGCCTAACAAATATCATAATTATGACTAATCATTTATTTTAAAATAAAAGTTATATTTAGAGAATATCTTAACCATATTTTCCTGCTTTGTCAAATGTCATTTGTCTTCGTTACAATTTTATAGAAGATTCGTAGGGGTAGAGTAATGACTTATCGTCATAGCGTTGCATAATAATACATCACACACTCAGATTAAAGAAAATAACCAGTAGATACACCATAAATTTTTACGCTGAAAATTCAAAAATTGACAAAAGCCACTGGAATAAATCTACTATAAATTAATGATTACAAGTGCAATCTGTCGTCCCACAAACCGGAAAGGGTTGAACACTCTTTTAAGTTATAGAGCGTCGGCGCACCGATGAACTTGTTGTAAGAAATGGATGAGGATCGACAGCGATCGACAGGTGATGGTTGATGACGTTCGACAGATAGTGGTCGACGATAATGGGCAGGTAGTCAATGTTAGTATGAGCGGTTTTGAAATTCAACTCCTTCTCTAAACTTCATGCTCTTTTCATAAAGCATCGATCTATACTTTCTCTTCAGTCATAAGATTGGTAGTGCTCTATTTATAGACTTTCGGGGGCAATTAATGTAGGAATGCGAACCACTTTGATCTGACGGTTCAAAAAACTTCCTTATATCATGCAACTTTCGATGGACATTTGAGTGTCTTAACAGTGTCGGAATTGAGCAATATTGAACTTGTTGGATTTGTCTCACAAAGACGTTCGATTCAATTATAAGCTCACTGAACTCAACATCCATTTGATCTCTCAAATGAGTCCATAAAACTCTCATAAGTGATTTGATGGCTTGATCAAGGCTCGACTTAGTTCAGATTGGATCAATGTTAGAACCATTCGGTCCGTTTTGTCGAGCGGATTAGTTCTAGTATAAGTTTATTGAAATCGGAGTTATAAATGACTATTTATAGAAATTTAAATATTTATTGTTCAAAAAATTACATTTACATTTGTGTCAATGGATTAAGATGAGTTGAAGGCCAATTACAGAAGCCGTTTTATTTTCCTCAAAGATTTGTATGCAACCCTCAAAAATTTTTTTAAAAATGCAAATAAAATAATACGCGCATAACATTACAATTTAAATACAAAAAAAAAAAAAAAAAGATGGAAATGTTCTTATCACGATTTTATCAATATTAATATCCCAATTTTTAAATTTTATCAAAAATAAATGTAATACGTATATTTTACGTATCTTAAAATAAATTAAAAAATTGAGAGATTTTACCTCTAAACTTATTTCAAAATAAATATTTACAAGACAAGATTCACCAGAGTCTGCTCGTAAACTCAATACAGACAATATCACTCCTTTGAGAAAATATTGTATCAGGACTCCGCACGTAGAGTTACGTGCGAAAATGAATGAAATCACGTTATGTGGCGGAAAAAAAAAATCTATCCGGTAATATAAGAGAATATTTCTCTTGTGTTATTCATGTATTATTATGTGTTATTCAAGTGTTATTATATTATTATAATACTGAAAATATTCTCAGAACACAATAACACTTGAATAATATGAGAAAATATTCTCTTATATTATTAGACCGATTTTTTTTTTTTCTGTGAACTTCAGGTGCAAAGCACTCCTGAAATGTTTTCTCAAAAGAGTGATATTATTCGAATTGAGTTTCCTAATTCAATATTTTTCCCACTCCTTTTGAAGACAAGTTCTGCTCCCTGCTTGGAAACAGAATCCTAACAATGTGTACAAACGCCTGATTGCAGCTGCAGTGGGCGCGCATTTCCTCGCCCGCGACCTCCGCATCCAGAACACCGCGGGCCCTTCAAAGCACCAAGCCGTCGCACTCCGCGTCGGCTCCGATCTCTCCGCCTTCTTCGACTGCGACATCATCGGCCACCAGGACACCCTCTACGTCCACTCCCTCCGCCAATTCTTCCGCCGCTGCCTCATCCAAGGGACCGTCGACTTCATCTTCGGCAACTCCGCCGCCGTCTTCCAAGACTGCGACATCCGCGCCCGCCGCCCCTCCCCCGGCCAAAAGAACATGATCACCGCTCAGGGCCGCTCCGATCCCGACGAACCCACCGGCATCGTCCTCCACTCCTGCCGCATCGACGCCGCAGACGATCTCGCAACGGCCAACAATTCTTCCTTCGCCACCTATTTGGGCCGGCCGTGGAAGGAGTTCTCGAGGACGGTGGTGATGCGATCGGAGATCGGGGGTTTGGTTCGGCCGGAAGGGTGGCATGAGTGGAATCTGGATTTTGGGCTGGACACGCTGTTTTACGGGGAGTACGAGAACAGGGGGCCGGGTGCGGGGACGGCAGGTAGGGTTAAGTGGAAGGGGTATAGGGTGATTGTGGATGCGGCGGAGGCGGAGGAGTTTACGGCGGGGAAGTTTATTGAAGGGTCTGATTGGTTGGGGGAGACGGGATTTCCGTTTTCGTTGGGCCTCTGATTTATCATTGATTACTCTGCTTCTTGGTTGTCGTTGATTTTATTTACATGAATTGAAGTTTTGGTATGTTATAAATATTATTTTTAGTTATGATGAACTTAATTATCAATAAATTTATTTAAAGAGATGTTGAATTCATCACACTAAAGAGATGGAATGCATACGAAGAGAAAACAAAGGCCGCTTTTGAGAATAGATAAAAATAATTGTCTTTTTTTTTTAATATAATACTTTATATTTATAAGAGTTGATATTCTTGGAAAAGATACAAATGTATCATTTAAAATTGAAAATCCCTCTATAATTGTTGAGAAATTTTAGGGCAAAGAGACGTGAAACGGCCCAAATTTAGAAGAAACACAGATTTAACGAGATTTGGCAAATATGCCCACGTCCTCACGAGCAGAGCAGTGACTTTCTTTCAATTCAGAAAAAGAGTACAAGATCTTCCTAGGGTTACAAAACAATACAAAAATATAACCCTAGAGTACAGTATGTAATTACAAATTACTCATGTACTGTATCTCGGGGGTGTTGCCCCCGCACCCCCCAACCCACGAGATTTTACACTCTGCTCGCTCTCTTTGTTTGCTCGCTCTATTCCGCTCCATCATCTGTCTCTTATCTGGTATGAGTCATACCTAACAGTACTCGATGAAAACCTAAACAATTTCAACTCAAAACACTTGCTTATAATAACACTTGAGAAATATTGTCTTCATGGAGTGTTAGGTCCTTTAGTGTTTGTCTCGAGCGTGGTTTTGGAAACTTGAGCAATGGGCCCCAAGCTTTGAGTTATTCGATCATGATTCTTTGTCATGATGATGTGATATCAAGTGTTGGCTCCTAACTCTTTTGTCTTTGCAATATGTAGGATGGTCTGTGGTCTGCGTTAATCATTCATGTTATGGTCACAATCGCTTGACCTTAGAGAAGCCGCTTTCAGATGTAGCAACTTATCCTGCTTCATTGGCTACTCAATTTCTAGTTATCATCCTTGGGTGTCTACTTTGTGGCAACCCCTGGACCTTCTGAAGTTACTAACTTGTCACCCGCCATTATTTGATGAGAGTCATTAGTTTCGTGGTATTTATTATTGTTAATAATTTATTACTATTATACTAATTTAAAAAGTATTAACATGTTGGTTTATTATTATTATTATTATTATTATTATTATTATTATTATTATTTAAATGCTTTGATTTTGAAAATTGGACCGAAAAAATCTCAAGTATTTAATTGTTTAAATAATTAAACACGCCATTATAAGTAATATGTCATATTGAAAGATGAACATATCATTTAATAATGAGTTCAAATATTCAAACGAAGAAAATAAAAATATTTATTTTGTCCGCGAAAATACCAACAGATCTTTCCCGCCATCTAATCTAAAGATCGATTAGGGTTTAAATTATTGGGTTACTATCTTTTATTGGCGTAAGCCCCTATAACTAATTAAATCTTAAGCAACTACAATCATTTTGGAAAACTTTCTATTAAAATTGATGTTATGTTTTCAAGAATTTCAACGTTTAGTTTCCTCGATTGATTCTGGGAAAATCAACTGAGAGATGCTCAATGTGGAATAGTTATTTCAGGAAACTTATGATTTGACTTTATATCATTGAAAGATAGGTTATTTGATATTTTAATCATGCAATTTATCTGGAAATTTATGACTTATATCCCACGATATAAAATCGTGAGAAAGCCTAGAAATGTGAGGATTTACAGCTTACTAAATGAACAACTTCAGAATGCTAAGACTAATGTGTTGTTCATCGAAGAAAGTATAACATCTAAACCTAGTCTAGAAAAAGACAACACACAGACTATTATGTATTTGTCCTAAACATTTTTAGTCTAGCAAAGCAATCCACCCTAACTAAACAATTATAACGAGTAAACCATGAAATTATATACTTTTATGATGTGTACAGGTGAGTGTCCGATGATGTTTATTCCACCTAAATCTTCCATAACAAATTTGTGACATTATTATTTTAACTTTTAAAAACTGAAATACATAATTTAGTGTTGTACGTCTTGAAACCAACATGATAACCAGAATATAAAATGGGCATAGTGGATTAAGCCCATTAATCATGCACTTGATGTCCTAACCTTGACTAGACTAATCATTCTTGTTAGCGATATTTTTTAGGATAACAAGCCAGAGTTTTTTTGCAACTCATAAGTACCCAGGAGTACCTTTGCATATGCTCTATAGCATTCACGAGAGTTCTCTCGATCGAGCTGTCTAATCTTACACCTTAAGGCGCACTCCTCTAGCTGAGTTCACTCATGCTCTTCGAGCTCACTCGCACTGACAAAACTCTCTAAGGTAGCTAGCCGATATCTATCCAGTTGTATCAATGTGCTCCATGATTAGTCCTTTGCGACAGAAGAAAGGGAATTTTGTTCTATCGCCAACAATTTCTATTTATTGCTGATTTGTCATCCATATCAAAGATCTTTTCAATGTGGGGGTTAGGGCTAACCTCATACAGTACGACCTATAATGTAGTCTTTTATTTATTTTTCAGTACCCCGCGAGGCCACAAATGTTTTATAATGTATAAATATAAGGTAAATGGGGAGAAGCCAAATCTTTCTCTTTGTTCCTCGCCACGATTGAGAGAAAAAATACCCTTTGAAATCCTAAACTCAACTTCCTCCATAAAATATATCCCGAATTATATGAATTTACTGATTATAAGGGATAATAGGTCCAAGAGAGAATCAACATATACACATTAAATATGTAATTACATAAGAATTGAGTAGTATGTATATTAATCTTCCTTACTTTAAATGACACATTATCACGATAAAATTTTACATAAGGACTCAGAATGTAGAACTACGTTTGGATTGTAATAGTTAGGAATATCATGCTGTGTTACATGAATATTCCATCTGCGCTATTTATAAAAAAACGATGTGTTATTCGAATATTATATGATTTTATTCGATTATTTTGCAGTGTTAATGAAATATTTCCCCGTGTTACTTGATTAAGGGTTGTGTTATTCGTCATATTCCTCGTGTTATTTCAATTTTCACTATGTTATTGGAATAACACAACCCCAAATCAAGTAACGCGGGAGAATATTCCTATAAAACTTCAACCCCAAATCAATTAACGCAGGGAATATTTCAATAACAATGTAAAATAATCAAATAACACCATATAATACTCGAATAACAATTTATTTTTTACAAATAACACAGATGAAATATTTCTATAACACAACAAAATATTCTTAATTATTAGACTCCGAACTAACCCTACGACGAGAGAGTCTGAATGTAATATTTTTCCACCACAAAAAAAAAAAACACCCACCGGTCACCTAATTTAGCCAGACCCTAACGCAACGTGGCGAGCCTTTCATCTCTCATTCTTTTGGGCATTTCGAGATCGACGAAACCTCTCATTTCCTTCTACAACAAGCTTTCATGCTTCGTATATAATTGTATCGCCCAACGTCCGAAAAGGGGGCATTTTTGGCGCTCTTTGCTATTGTTTGAATACCTAAATCGATTTTTTGTTCTCTCCTTCCCGCTCTCTTTCCGTTCCCTTCTCGGCATGGCGGCGCAGCAGCAGAAGCGCCAGAAGATGGCCGAGGAGCAGGTGGAGATGGAAGAGGTGCAGCATGGCCCTTTCCCCGTCGAGCAGCTCCAGGTAAAGCGTTATCCTGTATAAACCCTAAATCTTGATCTCCATTCTTGATTTTTTGAGTTCAGTTGCATGGGAAAAGGGATCTTTTTAAACCCTCGTTACTTGCTCAGTTATCGTCTTTATTCTCTCTCGAGGCTTCAGATATCATTTTTTGAAAGATGTTAACTCAAGGCCTAGGGATAGATGTTTCGCTTCCTGTTTAATCACTGTTTCGATTAAAAATTGAAAGCAAGGAAGAGTATCCTTTCTTGGCGCAATTTATATTGCGTTTCCTCATATCAATCTGACGGCTTCTTCAGTTTTCTTATGCAACTATGCGGCAGCAACATCATTACTTTCTTCATTACAATTCTTGTAAATTAATGAACATATATTTCACAATTTGAATATCAATCTGACGCTCTTGCATCAGCCTATTATTAGTGCAGTGAGGTATGCCGGAATTTTTTGATGAAATATATATATTTATTATCTCTTGATAGAACTCATCTTGGATTGCTTAGCTTTCTAGCTGAGATAATGCGTGTGATTTCCATGGCATTTGCTTATTATTTTTGTCTAACAGTCTATTCATGAACATTCTTTCTTGCTAATGACCAGCATTTTCAAAATCAGCGAGAGCATTGCCATTTAAATTTACAATTTTGATTTTGCTTTGAAATATATTACTTTTTTCCATCCCACCTCTATTTTCTAGGAATTATATATAATTTTCCTACAATATGGCTGTACGACTATAGCTGCACTTACCTTTCATTAGGATATTTTCTTGGTTAATTATTTTTTTCCCTTTGTTGGAGCTGTTGTGACACAATCCGGTTTGATCTTTGTTTGGTTATATAAATATTATAAATATTTTTTCATTGGCTGAGAAAGGTTTTCTTGAATTCTTTGTGTCTTTTAAGTGAGGGAAAATTCAGAGAGAAAGTTAATTCGAGTGTGCTAAGCACTGCTATTCTCCTTTTTGTAATCCTTTGGTTTCTTCATAGTGGGTTTTCTCTACGTTTCATACTGTGATTTGGATAAAAAATAAAAAAAAAAACAAACAATAAACGGAACCGCTTAGTTTATCCGAGTTCTTGTTTATTGTTTGCCTTTTTTTCTTTGGGCTTTAATTCACTGTAATTGTCAATGGAATTTTTTATGAAAACTCTACCTTGTTGTTGTATGATTTCCATTTAACATTGAAAGTTCTTGGGGGAAGAAGATAGAGTATGAAGTTTGAATTCCATATTTAGAAGGTTGAGGGCAATGCCACCTGAGCACATCTAGTTAGTTTTGCATATGTTTCTCATTCTGTCCTAAACTCATATCACAGTCTATTGATTTAATTAGACACACTGAGTCAAGATTTCCTTACCAGTAGCTTTCTTTAGGCGGGGTTTGGCTGCAACTTAGATTTTAGTTATGTAGGTTTATAATTCCGAATTTATCTTAGACGACGAAGTTCGCGAGCGATGATGGAATAAATCCTCCTCTTAATTGGATTTTGTAAATCCAGATTTACATCGGGAAAGAGGCAGAATGCAGGAAAAAACAGACTGCGTGGAATTTGTTTTAACGGAGCATTGGATTTAACGTTCAATATTTTTCGGTGTTTGGCTAGATTTAAGTTAAATTCATCCTTAAATCCTATTAATAGTATGCTACCGAACACCGGCTTTCAGTCTCTTTCTAGCTATATTTTTTCCTCAGTTAGCTTCTACATATAAAAGAAGAGTCAGACTAAGAATGATTTCAATCTGTTTTAATTGGAGATTAAAGATTTTTAATCTAAAAAAAAAACTGTTTTTAAAGACTATGTGTTTTATGATGACCATCGGAAAGTGGAGTTCTCTGAAAATCTCTCTTTTCCAGCTCAAATTGCTTTAATGATATACGCAATGATTAATTATAGAATTGCTGTATTAAGATCGGACCTGAGAGCAATGATTAAAGTTTTATCCATTTTGATTTTTTTGGAATTATGGAAATAAACTCTATATAATGTAGGAATAGATCGGACCTGAGAGCAATGATTAAAGTTTTATCCATTTTGATTTTTTTGGAATTATGGAAATAAACTCTATATAATGTAGGAATAGATCGGACCTGAGAGCAATGATTAAAGTTTTATCCATTTTGATTTTTTTGGAATTATGGAAATAAACTCTATATAATGTAGGAATAAGATTGCACGCATAAATCCCTCCATTGTCCCGAATTAATAAGTGCCTGGTTTGCTTTATAATTCCAGTTCATCTATTTTTCTTGTACAAGGTGTCTGGTATAGCTGCAATTGACATAAAAAAGCTCAGAGATGCTGGTCTCTGCACGGTGGAAGCTATTGCATATTCTCCAAGGAAAGAACTCTTGCAAATTAAAGGAATTAGCGAGGCAAAAGTTGACAAAATTATTGAAGCAGGTAAGCCATCGCTTTAAGTGCTCATATTTTCATTTGAACTTCTGTGTCTCAGATTAATATCATAATTTTCTTATACTTGCCATATGTTCTCAATGGCTGTGTTACTATTCAAATTTAGGTGTTAGATATGTAAACATATGTAAATTGTGTCGTATGTATGTGAATGTTCCTGTCAGCTTCAAAGCTTGTTCCTTTGGGATTCACAAGTGCTAGCCAGCTTCATGCGCAAAGACTTGAAATCATTCAAATCACTTCTGGGTCAAAGGAACTTGATAAGATCTTGGAGGGTAATTGAACTTTTCCATATATATGCTTATTCATTTTGAAGATAGTTTGAAAGTATTGTTCTTCTTCTATTACCAGATGCAATATTTTACTTTTTTTTTTTACTTTTTAGGCTTCTCATTCATGCAGGCGGGATTGAAACCGGCTCGATCACTGAGTTGTATGGTGAATTTCGCACTGGAAAGACTCAGTTATGTCATACACTCTGTGTAACTTGCCAGGTATCCATTTTCAATATTTGAAACAAATTGTAAAGGTTTATTTCTTTAGTTTTTTTATTTCACCGTTATTCCATTTCTCAAGCGTGTCCAATTATGATTTGCAATATCCTTATTATTTTCATCAGTAGACTAATCTGAAATATTTTCTCCTTATATCTTATGGTTCTCAAACGTGTTCTTGTTCTTTTCTGTATTCATAGCTACCATTGGATCAAGGTGGTGGTGAAGGTAAGGCTATGTATATTGATGCAGAGGGCACCTTCAGGCCTCAAAGACTCCTAGATATTGCTGAAAGGTGTTAGTAATTCGGACCAAAATAACTTATTGCACTTTCATCAACCTTTTCTTTTTTTTTTTTAACTCATGAAAGATATCATTTCTAACAGGTTTGGATTGAATGGTGCTGATGTTCTGGAAAATGTAGCATATGCTAGAGCATATAATACTGATCATCAGTCAAGACTCTTGCTGGAAGCAGCTTCAATGATGGTTGAAACCAGGCATGGTCATTTAACCCTCTGAAGGCTTCTCTAAGATTCTATTTTTGATCTTCAGTTAGAATGTGGATTTCATTTATTGTTCCAATATCACTTCTCACATAGATGGTTGTATGAGGAAATTTCTAGGTTTATTTGCAGTGCTTGGGACATTCAAAGAGGCTCGACTATAACTTTTGAAGTAATCATTTGATCAAAATAAGCCTCAAGAGCTAATATTGACAACCATTTAGCTAGTATTAGTAAGAATCAATGAAGTTAGAGTCTAACAACCAAACTACAGTTTTTACATTTATAGAACCAAATCTTTAATGTCACATAAAAAAATCAAAATTAACATTTAAAATGTAAAATACACATTTTCCACACGCGCGCGCTCGTATATCACCTTATATATGCATGAAAATGTGTGTTCTCCGACATGTTGGTTGGCATCCATGCTATAAGACCCCTTAGGTTGGGGGTTTGAATCCCCTCTGGCACAGTTGGTCTTAAGAGGGTGGTACTCAAATTGTTAGGCACATTATGTGTGATTGGAGGCTCGTATAATAACCTCTGGCTATATATATA